ATTATTGATTTTTCTATGGTGGGAAAAAGGAAATCATTGATTGTTGAAGTTTAGACCTTACTAGTATGGTGAGATTTATTTAGTTTATTTTTGGTTCAGTTGGCAGATGTATGGTCATGTGGAGTGACTCTTTATGTAATGTTGGTGGGAGCATATCCATTTGAAGAGCAAGAGGACCCAAAGAATTTCAGGAAAACTATTCATGTATGTTACCTTCTTTTTTCCTAACTCTTTTATGGTTCTTCAATCTTTTCACATCTATGATATACTGTGTTCTTCTGCAGAGAATATTGGCTGTTCAGTACAAAATCCCAGACCATGTTCACATATCTCAAGATTGCAGACATCTCCTTTCACGCATATTTGTAGCCAACCCTGCCAGGGTATGTATGAGAGTTCTTGGATTTCAAGAATCTATATCAACTTCTTTGAAGATGCAAATAATATTGAAGTAAATATGAACTAATACATATCTTCTAGCCCAAGTGGTGATATATTGGCATTGTTTGGATCTTAGCAAACATGGTTTTACTTCTTTCTTGTGCTAATGCATAAGGCATATGCAGGCTCATTTTTCGATGTGCTTCTTATTTGGAGTAACCATTGGCCTGCTAGCTCTTCTCTTGTTTTATTTTTGGAGTTCTTTACGCATTCTCTATCTGAAACAAAGAGTTTTATCCTGGTCTTTTATCTTAATTAATATTAACCAGCAAAGTATGGATTATATATCCTTGGGCACTGTTGCACGTGATTTGGTGACAGTCAGAAATACAAGAAAGGTCTCTTTACATCCCATAGAACAACAGGTGATGTGTTTGAGAACAAATCAAGGAACTAAGGCCATATAAGTAGTAACAGTGAGTTAAAATCTGGAAATTTCTGATTGCTGGTGCCATTTGAAAACTTCTCTATCACTACTTCTGTCAAGCATATGTGGAAGTCTGCCATCTGATGGAATGAATGGTAGATACGAGATAGTTTCTTCGGGTTGTGATTCAGCTAGTTTTTTGAAACTCCCTGCAAAGTCATCTTCTGTCATGTTTTATTGTTTTCAGTTTTCACAGAGTATCGTGGTGTTGTTCTTGTCATTTCATTGGGCAATCACATTTTTTACTCCTGCTCTTTCAGAGAATCACCGTCAAAGAAATCAGGAGCCATCCATGGTTTTTGAAAAACTTGCCAAGGGAACTGACTGAGGCAGCTCAAGCTATTTACTACAGGAAAGACAACCCAACTTTTTCTGTCCAAAGCAATGAAGAAATCTTGAAAATAGTTGAAGAGGCTAAAGTTCCTGCCCCAGTATCTCACTCTATCGGAGGCTTTGATTGGGGAGGAGGAGAAGATGGAGATGCCAAGGAAGAAGAGGTAGAGGAGGAAGAAGATGAGAATGAGAAGAGAGTTAAGGAGGCTCATGCTAGTGGAGAAATTAAGCTCACTTGATTAATACATTCTTGATTCTTTCCAAATAATGAAGATCTGGAGTTTGTTTCAGTGCTTGTATAAAGTCGGTTTCTATCTAGGCGGTTGTGTTGAATAAGTATTTGTAAATTTGTAGTATATTGGCATGGGAAAATTTTAGCATGGTGCTACTGGTCTTGGAATTATTATGATTCCGAACTACCTCTGAAAGTCAAGTTGATGGTTTTCCTTTTGGGAGTTAGGATTAGCATAATGTATTAAGGGTTTCTTATTGTTTAGAGAACTAGAAAGATGACTCCGTTAATGGCAATTCCAATATAGTGTTTTTTGGTGAGGTTCGAATGGTTTTATAAAAAAAGAGCTATTGACATTTTAGTACTCATGCATTTTTATCTCTTTTGAGTTAAGATAGCAATATATTGCACAAGAAAACCTCAACAGTACAAACCAAGTGAGGAAATAGAACAAGAGTGCAGAAAACAGCCCCAAAAGCGTAAAATTAGACCATACTAAGAAAGCTTCACACCTCACGACTACACAGCAACACACTTTCTATTATTCATACCCAAGTATGCTTTAGGATCTAGACATGTAGCTTGAAGCTATACTAGTTGTTACCCCGGCTACGTTGGAGATTGTTCTTGATAAGATGCAGCTCCTTGAGAACTGTACTCGTGAGCATACGATCTTGAGGCGATTCCACGGAGCATGCCACACCGATCCTAATCATTGAGACTAGGCAATCCATTATGATGTTAAATCGTGATCTTTGTCTATTTACAATGGTTGCTTCAGCCTCTTCTACGAGCTTTGGGTCCACAATCTCCACAATCTGATCAGGTGAGGTCATTCTTGCATAATGATGAAGATTAAATCCTCCTTCAAAGAGATTGTCAGTGGGCTTCTTTCCTGTCATCATCTGCAGCACCAGGATCCCATAACTGTATATATCACCATGTATTGATACCTCACTTCCCATGCCATACTCTGCCATTCACAAAAGATTAAATTCCACCCAAAAAAAAAAGAAGAAAAAATTATAAATGAATGCTATGTAGAGTCATGTGACATAAGAAAGAACTAAATTTTAAAAGCATCATAATCTTTTCGTCACCTGGAGCAGCGTACCCAATTGTTCCCCTCACTCCAACTGAGCTACTTTGGTTTGACATTTTGGATTCTGATGAAATAAACTTTGCAAGCCCAAAATCCCCAACATGAGCAGTCATGTCGTTGTCTAGAAGAACATTGCTTGGCTTTAGATCACAATGAACAATTGTCTTCCCACAATGGTAATGGAGATAGTCAAGAGCGGAGGCGACATCAATAGCAATGCTTATCCTCTGTAATAGGCTTAGACTCTGGACTCTGCTTTGGCCATTGTTTGTTTCCTGAGCAGGTGCATGCAGCCAATTATCCAGGCTTCCATTGGGTATCAACTCATAAACTAGAGCTTTGAAATCATTTCCTTGAAAATCGATGCTTGAGCAGGAAGTTATGATCTTTACAAGGTTTCGATGACGAATGTTCTTCAAGGCTTCACACTCTGCCATGAAACTCTTAGAAGCTCCTCGATACATAAGATCGAGTACTTTGACTGCAACATGAGCTCCATCTTCTTCGAGAACTCCTTTGTAGACAGAACCGAAGCTCCCCTTACCAAGTAAATTTGTTGAAGAAAATCCATCTGTCGCTTTAAGCAGGATTTGGTAAGAAAGTTGCCTCAGAGGCTCTTTCAAGGAGAATCTAGAAGACTGATCTTTGTTTTTTCTTTTAGTCCAACATAGCAGGAAGATGGATACTATAATTACTCCTAGAAATGAGATAACTATAATTAGTATATGCACATGCGACAGCTTTCCTTTTTTTGTTGATTTGGTGCTGCATTTAGGCAACCTAAGTTCAGGGATTCCCCCGCAAAGGTTCTTATTTCCTTCAACAAAAACTGCACTCGCATTTTTGAAGATGCCTTTTGTTGGAATGTCTCCTTCTAGGTTATTGAAAGATAAATTCAAATACTCCAATGCTAGATTTGCCATGGATTGAGGGATCTTACCTGTTAAGTTGTTGACAGAAAGATCAAGTTCTCGAATTCCTCTTAGAGAGCTTAAAGATTCAGGAATGCTACCCCCAAAGTGGTTTCTATCAAGGTGAAGGATCTCTAGACTGGTGCAGCCGCTCAAGCTATTTGGAATTTCTCCGATCAACATGTTGTCAGATACATCTAGTGCACCTAAGTTTCTCAATTGACCAACTTCTAAAGCTAGAGATCCAACCAGATGATTACTAGAAAGATTTAGTCTAATAGTCAAAGTAGAAATGTTGAAAAGTTCTTTGGGTATGGAGCCGCTAAGATCGTTTTGAGAAAGTTCCAACCTCAACAATTTTTGGCAGTTCCCAAGGCTTGAAGGTATGCTTCCATTTAACTTGTTTTGTTCTAAATTAAGGACACTCAATAATGTTAAGTTTCCAAAAGAATCTGGAATTTCTCCTGAAAGATTATTTCTATAAAGAAATAGAATTTGAAGTTGTCCTAGTTGACCTATGTCTTTTGGAACTTTGCCTGTAAACTGATTTTCATGCAATCGCAAAGCATTTAAACTGACAAGATTCCCTAACCCTGGAGGGATGCCTCCGAATAGGTTATTCTCTGAAAAGAAGAGGAAACTTAGTTGACTTGAGAGATTGGCTATAGATTTTGGCAATCTTCCGTGAAATTGATTTATATCAAGGGCTAAAACTTGCAATTTGCTACAGTTGACCAAAGAAGTTAAAAAATTCATCTCATCAGCGTCTCCGGTTCCTAGATAATTATCAGTCAAAAGTAGAACCCGTAAATGTTGTAGGTGCCCAAAAGGAACTGTTACCTTTCCTGAGAATTTATTTGCTTGCAATTGTAAAATGTCAAGTTTTGAAGCATTGGAAAATGTCACTGGAATCTGCCCACTAAAGTTGTTTGTCCACATAGAAAAGGCTGTTAGATGAGGAAGGGTGAGTCCTATATCCCACGGAAGATTTCCTTCAAGTTCATTACTGGATATGGCAAAACCAGAAAGCATGGAAAGGTTATAGATTGATGAGGGGATCTTGCCAAAAAGACTATTTTCTTGGAGTGCAAGAAAGCGCAGGCTTCTTAATT